CTATAGTCCAGAGTATAGTCCAGAGTATAGTCCAGACTATAGTCCAGAGTATAGTCCAGAGTATAGTCCAGACTATAGTCCAGACTATAGTCCAGACTATAGTCCAGACTATAGTCCAGACTATAGCCCAGACTACAGTCCAGACTACAGTGCAGACTATAGTCCAGACTACAGTGCAGACTATAGTCCAGACTACAGTCCAGACTATAGTCCAGGCTATAGTCCAGACTATAGTCCAGGCTATAGTCCAGACTATAGTCCAGGCTTTAGTCCAGACTATAGTCCGGGCTATAGTCCAGACTATAGTCCGGACTATAGTTCAGACTATAGTCCAGACTATAGTCCGGACTATAGTTCAGACTATAGTTTAGACTATAGTCCGGACTACAGTTCAGACTATAGTTTAGACTATTGTTCAGGCTATAGTCCAGACTATATTATATACTATAGTCCATACTACAGTCCAGACTATAGTCCAGACTATAGTTCAGACTACAGTCAAGACTATAGTCCATTTTTCTTTTTGATTAAAATATACTATGCTGAAGGGTATATAAGATTCGACATTGTCAGAAGTTTAGTGCTGTCACTTGTTTTTTACTAAAATTTTGATAAGATCCAGTGTTTCGTTAGATCAGCAAAATATGAAGGTTTTTAGTAAAATCTTTTGTTAAATAAATATTTTTATTAAAACTATAAAAATAAAATTATCTAAAAAATTTTGTCATAAATTTTTATCTATGTTGGTCTTTAGAGATTTCTATATAAACATTTTGAAAGATTTGCGTCCTAAATAAAGATATAAACTAATAAAATGTACCCGAGTCGCGCTACGTAAAAGGGACTTGTGTCAGTTAAGGCATTGCCATATTAAAACTTGCCCTTGATATTTAGTATTAGTATCGTTCCCTTTTTCCAAGCACCCTCTCATTCTTAATTGATTTTAATGTCAAGGTCTATGTCAGTATCTTTAACAATTAATACATTTTCAAGTTTATTTATCTTTCTTTTTTTTCTAGTGATAAATTTATCGATAACACTTGATAATATTTATTACATATTTGTTACTTCAAAAAATTATTTACTTAATAAATAATATAAAGATATTAATATTTACTTAAGTAAAAGTTATTTTGTTTTTGGTTTTTGTATCGCTACTTGTTACAGAAATAGTGGTATGTGATAGCAATACATAATGGTAAATATATTCAAAAATTATATATCGTTTTTAATCAGATATATCTCGTTTTAAATAAAACAATCGTAACTTTTGAATCTGCAACATATTTTGAGGTGTTTCTGATTCTGATGGTTGAGATATGAGTAAAATCTCTAAACTACAATTTTAAATATAGCTTCCTATATATCTCGAAAACATAGTTCTTTTCCTAGACATAATGTATATCAAATGAAAGGTCTTTCGTGTAACTTTCTTTTGATTACATATTGTATAACTATATACATAAAAATATCATTCTAAATATATTCTAAATTCTAGAAAAGTTCTCGACAACATGTCTGATAAAAGTATTCCAGATTTAGATATCTGAGGCAGAGAGAGAAGTTGATGCAAAATGATCAGCGGCGGCGGTGCAACCATTTTTGAATGGCGCCGACGGCTTATTAAATAAAATATCGGCGCCGTCTTAATTGTCGGCTCAATTTAACTTTTTCTTCAGATTCTGAGGCCTTCTGAAAATGAGTTCATTATATCTAAGAACAAAACGACTAATATCGCTAAATCGGCTTTAACTGCCTATATCTTAGGAACATTCAGTTCGAGTGGTCACTTTTCTCTATCCTAGGTATAAAACTATTTGAGCTCTAGATTGAAATATAAACAATTAATATATTGATACTTTAACTGAATGACGTAATGTGACAAATATAGACTTTTCGATGTAAATGCCCATATAAAAGTTTTAGCGCCTTTTGTCATAACAACAAATTAATTAAATTTTAATTAATTTTTATTTGTTTAGTTATTGTTAAATATTTTTTTTTAAGATACTTAAAACTCTTGACAGATATAATTAATTAAAAGAAAATAACAGGTCTAGACACTTAACTGGAGTCCTAATGATACTTATTATTAATTGTAATTAAAATTTATTTTAAAAATATGAAATAATAATTTAAAAAGCCGCAAAAAAACGGAAATAGTATAGAAAACCAGAAACTCTAAAGAATATAATTTTAAAACCGGTTAGCAAGTAGTTAATAATAAGAAGAAATTGTGGTTCTTAAGGGATTTTTAATAATTTTGTAAATTTTAAAATCAATTTCAAAATAAATCTCAAAAAAATTTTTAATTTTCTATAGAATTGCTAAGAGATCGTGCCACCATAATTCGTGCATTTCCTTGAAATCGTTTAAACAATTCGCCTCTACGGGAAAATGTCGTGAGTACTCAGCAGCCAATTTAGTAATAGATTGAGATGAGGGAACTTCCCGTAAAGCACAAGACTGCAATATACAAGAAATATTCAAGAAACCGCCTTAGACAATGAAGTAACCAGTTGTGGGAAATATATATTTTTAAAAAGAATATAGAAATATTGGCATTTAATATAAATATATAAATGACTTCAGTGGTGATGGCTAAGTGGCTTAGGCCAATGTTTTGCAAATAAAACGAGTTATATTTTATAAAAATCGAATCAGAAATATTGTTATTATTCCACATTAAGTATTTTTTATGATATTTTATTTGAGTGATTTATTGAAAAAATTTTAATTTTTAAAATTCGTAAAAAATCAAAAAAGCCCCCGATTTAGATCAAACTTATTGGACATAAAGCTAAATATGTTACAAATACAATGAGATATATTTTACTAAAATCGAATCAGAAATCTTGATGTTATTCAACATTAAGTGTTTATATCAACAATATTTTGTATGAAATCAGAAATAGAAAAATGTTGAATCTTTAAAAATTCACAAAAAATCGAAAATGACCCCTAATTAGATCTAACTGATAGGTCTTGAAGCTAAATATATTACAAAAAAAATGAGATATATTTTACAAAAATCGAATCAGTAATATTGATATTATTCAACAATAAGTATTGATATCATATTTTGTTCAAGTGAATTATTGAAAAAATTTTAATTTGAAAAAAATCACCTAAAATCGAAAAAGCCCCCGATTTAGATCCAACTTATAGGTCTTTAAGCTAAATATGTTGATAATAAAATGAGATATGTTTTATTAAAATCGAGGCATAAATACTGATTTTATTTATAGTTAAGTGTTAACTTAACATGCTGTACAAAACCCATTATTGAAAATTTTTTAATTTTTAAAAAATCACCAAAAATCGAAAAAGCCCCCGATTTAGATCCAACTTATAGGGCATAAAGCTAAATATATTACAAATAAAATGAGATATATTTTACAAAAATCGAATGAGAATTATTGATATTATTCGACATTAGGTATTGATACCATACATGGGAATTTTTCATTAAGCATTAAAATTTCATTACCATTTATAGAAAAAATTGTAATGAAAAATATTTTAAGTACCATTTAATGAAAATTATATTTTTTTCATTATAACTTTTTTTGATAATGGTAATGAATTTGATAATGAATTTTCAAAAACGAATTTAATTAGTATTTATAATTGTCGAAAAATATATTAAGGAAAATTTTTCGAAGATTCGAGGTTTGAAAGCTTTTAAAACCAGTTCCCGTGGCCCAAATTGGCTGAAATTTTGCAGTCATAAGTACATCTGATGACAATACAATAATATGTTCGAATATTCGAAATTAAGTTCGAAAATTCGAAGTTATTTTCGAAAATTTTTTTATGTTTTTAAATTAATCTCTGTGTCATAAAACCTAAAAAAAAAAAAATTCGAAAATTCGAACTTGTGTTCGAAAAATTTTTAAAGCTGTTAAAACTAGTTCTTCTAGTCTGAATGTGCTGAAATTTGGCATACATGATTTCACCTAATGAAAATACATTATAATGTTCGGATATTCGAAATTAATTTCGAAATTCGAACTAATGTTCGAAAATTTTTAAAATCCATTGAATAATGGTAATGAAAATTTATTTTTAAATAATTACTAATGAAATCGTTTCATTAAAAAGCATTACCATTAGAGAAAATAATGCTAATGAAAAAAAAAATAATTATAATTTTTTTCAATTTAATGCTAATGAAATCGTCAATTAATTAGTCGATATAATTAACTTCTCCCATGTATGATTGATACCATATTTTGTTCGAGTGCATTATTGAAAAATGTTTAATTTTTTAAAAATCACAAAAAATCGAAAAAGCCCCCGATTTAGATCCAACTTATAGGTCTTAAAGCTAAATATGTTACAAATAAAATGAGATATATTTTATTGAAATCGAGGCATAAATACTGATTCTATTCAAAATTATGTGTTAACATTGCATTTCGTGCAAAATGCATAATGAAACATTTTTGATTTTTAGAAATTCGTAAAAATTTTAAAAAGCCTTCGATTTAGATCCAACTTATGGGTCTTAAAGCTAAATATGTTACAAATAAAATGAGATATGTTTTATTAAAATCGAGGCATAAATACTGATTATATTCAAAATTAATTGTTAACCTTGCATTCTGTGCAAAATGCATAATGAAACATTTCTGATTTTTAGAAATTCGTAAAAATTTTAATAAGCCCCCAATTTAGATCTAACTTATAGGCAATATAGCTAAGTGTGTTATAAATAAAATGAGATATATTTAATAAAAATCGAATGTGAAATATTGATTTTATTCCATATTAAGTATTGATATCATATTTTGTTCGAGTGAATTATTGAAAAATGTTTAATTTTTAAAAAATCACCAAAAATCGAAAAAGACCCCTTATTGGATACAACTTATAGGTCTTAAAGCTAAATATGTTACAAGTTAAACGAGATATATCTTATAAAAATCGTGTCATAAATATGTACTGATATTAATAAAAAAATTATAGAAAGTAATAAAAAATGTGTATGGACTTACATTACTTTTACCGGAAACACTATTATCCATGGCCTTAACAGTTGCACCGCCATCACTGGTAGCAACTATGCCAGGTGAGGCTTCGCCCACTATAGCATTATTAGAACTTTCCAAATTTGGACGGGCTTCAATGCGATTGACACAGGAAAAGAAAACACAGACAATAAATAAGAAAATCATTTTCTTATTTGTCAACAATTTGAATTGAAAGGGTTTTTTCGCTTTCGTTGAGGAGGAATTATTAGGAGTTGAATTCTGTTGTTGTTGTTGTTGTGATTTCTGCTGATCTTGTTTTTGTTCCGTGGGACGATAGGGAGCAAAACGTGGATCATTCTTTTTAATAGTGTTTTTATCACAAAATTCCACAAATGCCAACCACAGTTGTAGTAGCAGAACACGCAAATAGGCCATGAAGTTATTGTTGCTGTTGTTGTTGTTGCTAAGACTATTATTGCAATTTGTGGCATTATTATTATTTACAGTGGTGGGGGAGGAGGCAGAGTCAGAGACAGAGGAATTATTAGCAGCATCTTTGGATTTTGTAGAAGAGGAAGAGGAAATTGTTGTAGTTTCATTTCCTGGCTCCATTTTGTGCTTATTTATAAGATTTTTTCTTTTACTTAAACTATTTGTAGTTGTGGTAGTATTTGTATTACTAAACATTTTACTATTACTATTTATAGTTGTTGTAGTTGTGGTTGTATTATCATTATTAGTAGTTTTATTAAGTTTATTAATATTTTTACTAAAGTTTTTAGCACCATTCAAAACCGTTGTTCATTAACATCATCATCTTCTTCATCATCTTCATCATTCTCTTCATTTTCATTAATAACATTTTCTTTTTCATTTACATTATCATTATCGTGTTTGTTGTCCTCATTTAGACGTTTAAAGCAATTCTCACAGCATTTTTGTTTTAATTGTTGTTCTTGTTGTTGTTGACCCTTTAAGTCATCCAAATTATTATTGCACCAACATGCCCTTCGAGCCAAATTCATTTCTTGCTCTAACGATGGCGTCTTCTTATCCTTTGACTCCTCGCGCTCATCTTGAGACGCCATCATTATTGTTTGTTGTTTCTTATTAACAGCCATTTTGTTGGCAGCTCTTTCTAATTTCTGCCTTGTTTCTTGCGGCCCAAAGGTGTTTTGCTGCTGCTTGGAGAAGAAATTTATAAATTCTTTTTCTTCTGCCTCGTGTTCGTGTTTAGCTCTTTCACCTTTTTTTCGACCTGCCGGACCTTGATAGAAATATTCATTGGAATTTCTTGTCAAAAGGTCGTAAAACATTGTTTCTCTCTGTTGCCAGTTGTTTTTATATATATATTTTGGATTTTTATTTGGAGTGTTTGTAGGGAGAGTTTTGTTTCTTTTGGGTTTCTTAAAATTTTTAGAATGTTTTATCACGCAAACATTTGTAATGTTTTTTTTTAATTTTTTTCCTTTTTTTATATTATTTTCTCTACATTAATTTTTCTAAGATTTATTTGGGGATTTATGTTTATTTTTTCTAAACTAAGTTTAATATTAGTTTAAGTTTGTTGGTAGTTGGTATGTAAATTAAGTACGATGTTTTTGAATTCTGTAAAGAGAAGAAAATAAATTTAAGAAATTAGAAAATATATTTTCAAATGATATTATATTTTGAGTCAAGAAAACTAAATATGTTATAAAAGAAAACGACTATGTATTTTATTAAAATTCATACAAAAATGTTGATTTTATTTACAATTTTAGATCGGTTCTAGTTCATTTGAAGCTTTGTCCTAGTTCTAGTTCAGCTCTAGTTCAGTTCTAGTTCAGTTCTAGTTCAGTTCTAGTTCAGTTCTAGTTCAGTTCTAGTTCAGTTCTAGTTCAGTTCTAGTTCAGTTCTAGTTCAGTTCTAGTTCAGTTCTAGTTCAGTTCTAGTTCAGTTCTAGTTCAATTCTAGTTCAGTTCTAGTTCAGTTCTAGTTCAGTTCTAGTTCAGTTCTAGTTCAGTTCTAGTTCTGTTCTAGTTCAGATCTAGTTCAGTTCTAGTTCAGTTCTAGTTCAGTTCTTCAGTTCAGTTCTAGTTCAGTTCTAGTTCAGTTCTAGTTCAGTTCTAGTTCAGTTCTAGTTCAGTTCTAGTTCAGTTCTAGTTCAGTTCTAGTTCAGTTCTAGTTCAGTTCTAGTTCAGTTCTAGTTCAGTTCTAGTTCAGTTCTAGTTCAGTTCTGTTCAGTTTCTAGTTCATTCTAGTTCAGTTCTAGTTCAGTTCTAGTTCAGTTCTAGTTCAGTTCTAGTTCAGTTCTAGTTCAGTTCTAGTTCAGTTCTAGTTCAGTTCTAGTTCAGTTCTAGTTCAGTTCTAGTTCAGTTCTAGTTCAGTTCTAGTTCAGTTCTAGTTCAGTTCTAGTTCAGTTCTAGTTCAGTTCTAGTTCAGTTCTAGTTCAGTTCTAGTTCAGTTCTAGTTCAGTTCTAGTTCAGTTCTAGTTCAGTTCTAGTTCAGTTCAGTTCTAGTTCTTCTAGTTCAGTTCTAGTTCAGTTCTAGTTCAGTTCTAGTTCAGTTCTAGTTCAGTTTAGTTCAGTTCTAGTTCAGTTCTAGTTCAGTTCTAGTTCAGTTCTAGTTCAGTTCTAGTTCAGTTCTAGTTCAGTTCTAGTTCAGTTCTAGTTCAGTTCTAGTTCAGTTCTAGTTCAGTTCTAGTTCAGTTCTAGTTCAGTTCTAGTTCAGTTCTAGTTCAGTTTCTAGTTCAGTTCTAGTTCAGTTCTAGTTCAGTTCTAGTTCAGTTCTAGTTCAGTTCTAGTTCAGTTCTAGTTCAGTTCTAGTTCAGTTCTAGTTCAGTTCTAGTTCAGTTCTAGTTCAGTTCGTTCAGTTCTAGTTCAGTTCTAGTTCAGTTCTAGTTCAGTTCTAGTTCAGTTCTAGTTCAGTTCTAGTTCAGTTCAGTCTAGTTCAGTTCTAGTTCAGTTCTAGTTCAGTTCTAGTTCAGTTCTAGTTCAGTTCTAGTTCAGTTCTAGTTCAGTTCTAGTTCAGTTCTAGTTCAGTTCTAGTTCAGTTCTAGTTCAGTTCTAGTTCAGTTCTAGTTCAGTTCTAGTTCAGTTCTAGTTCAGTTCTAGTTCAGTTCTAGTTCAGTTCTAGTTCAGTTCTAGTTCAGTTCTAGTTCAGTTCTAGTTCAGTTCTAGTTCAGTTCTAGTTCAGTTCTAGTTCAGTTCTAGTTCAGTTCTAGTTCAGTTCTAGTTCAGTTCTAGTTCAGTTCTAGTTCAGTTCTAGTTCAGTTCTAGTTCAGTTCTAGTTCAGTTCTAGTTCAGTTCTAGTTCAGTTCTAGTTCAGTTCTAGTTCAGTTCTAGTTCAGTTCTAGTTCAGTTCTAGTTCCGTTCTAGTTCAGTTCTAGTTCAGTTCTAGTTCAGTTCTAGTTCAGTTCTAGTTCAGTTCTAGTTCAGTTCTAGTTCAGTTCTAGTTCAGTTTTAGTTCAGTTTTAGTTCAGTTCTAGTTCAGTTCTAGTTCAGTTCTAGTTCAGTTCTAGTTCAGTTCTAGTTCAGTTCAGTTCTAGTTCAGTTCTAGTTCAGTTCTAGTTCAGTTCTAGTTCAGTTCTAGTTCAGTTCTAGTTCAGTTCTAGTTCAGTTCTAGTTCAGTTCTAGTTCAGTTCTAGTTCTAGTTCAGTTCTAGTTCAGTTCTAGTTCAGTTCTAGTTCAGTTCTAGTTCAGTTCTAGTTCAGTTTCTAGTTCAGTTCTAGTTCAGTTCTAGTTCAGTTCTAGTTCAGTTCTAGTTCAGTTCTAGTTCAGTTCTAGTTCAGTTCTAGTTCAGTTCTAGCTCAGTTCTAGTTCAGTTCTAGTTCAGTTCTAGTTCAGTTCTAGTTCAGTTCTAGTTCAGTTCTAGTTCAGTTCTAGTTCAGTTCTAGTTCAGTTCTAGTTCAGTTCTAGTTCAGTTCTAGTTCAGTTCTAGTTCAGTTCTAGTTCAGTTCTAGTTCAGTTCTAGTTCAGTTCTAGTTCAGTTCTAGTTCAGTTCTAGTTCAGTTCTAGTTCAGTTCTAGTTCAGTTCTAGTTCAGTTCTAGTTCAGTTCTAGTTCAGTTCTAGTTCAGATCTAGTCAGTTTAGTTCAGTTCTAGTTCAGTTCTAGTTCAGTTCTAGTTCAGTTCTAGTTCAGTTCTAGTTCTAGTCAGTTCTAGTTCAGTTCTAGTTCAGTTCTAGTTCACTTCTAGTTCAATTCTAGTTCAGTTCTAGTTCAGTTCTAGTTCAGTACTAGTTCAGTTCTAGTTCAGTTCTAGTTCAGTTCTAGTTCAGTTCTAGTTCAGTTCTAGTTCAGTTCTAGTTCAGTTCTAGTTCAGTTCTAGTTCAGTTCTAGTTCAGTTCTAGTTCAGTTCTAGTTCAGTTCTAGTTCAGTTCTAGTTCAGTTCTAGTTCAGTTCTAGTTCAGTTCTAGTTCTAGTTCAGTTCTAGTTCAGTTCTAGTTCAGTTTAATCCTTTCTTTTGTACACTTAAACTTTTTAACCTTTCAATTTATTTTCATTATTTTATTTGACACTTTGTTAAAAACAACATTTTATTCTACTGATCAGTTTTTGACAACACTAACGATCTTGGTTTTTTGAACTTTTTATTATTCTTATTAAAGAAGTTTTTGTTAAAATTTATGATTTGGTTTCCTTTATCAATTGAAGGCAATTTTCACGCTTTTAAATTTTCAATTAATTGTTGTTATTGACTTTTCTGTCAATTCCTGTTTAGAGATATTGAAATTCTCTTCTTGCAACACACATAAATTTTGTCAATATCATTATAATTTATGATCAATAAATTGTTTTCTTTCTTTATTAAATATTTCCATAAAAATGTCACAATATTTTGCTGGTTCCTCAATTACCCGTAATAAATTGCGGCCATCAGATGACACCCAACAATTTAGGCAATAAAAATAAATTGATAAATGACACAAATTATGCACAAACGGTATTTTCTTTTTTAATTAAATATATTTTTTCATTTAAAGATTTTGTCAACCGAAATTTAAAAAAACAGCCATTTATTTAAAGGAAACTTTTAAAATGATTTGAAATATTAAAAAAATGTTTAAGAAGATAAAAAAGATTGTGTTTTGTGATAAACAAGATCAAATACTTTTATCACTTAAAAAAAAAGATAAAACACTTAAAAATTAAAAAAAAAAATAACACACACCGAAAGAAAAATTTAAGTAGGAACTGTTTTCGGAAAAAAATGACTGAAGCACTCCAGACACTACAACCAACTGACCTGACGCAATAACCAACTGAAACTGGTTTCAAAATTTTCAACTCAAGAAGCTTTATAACTTTTTTTGTCTTCTTTCCAATACTACTGTTAACATTTCGTAGCTCTCGGTCTTTTCATTCAGCAAGAAAATTATGTTTGATATGAATAAAATATTTATTTACCAGTACATTGAAATTTCTTAAAATACATTTAAAATAAAATGTGTTATATATTTGAAAATAACAATTAGAGAAAAAAAAGTGTTAATGACTGTTAAATTTATATTTTTAATCAAATACAAACACATAATCATATCACATCGTTACATTAGTCTAGTTGTAGTTAGATCGTTTGCAAACTTACCAACGATCGTGTATTTATATTAAATATGAAAATAGAGAGCAAAATATTTAATTTATTAAATAAATATTTAATAAATTTAAAAATAGCTAAATAAATATTGTTGGTTAATTAAATACAACAAAAAAAAAAAAAATGTGTATATTCGTCTAGTAGTGATAATTGACGATTAAGTATCAATTTATGAACTTGCTAATTTTATTATTTAATTGCAAAATTTAGTAAAAAAAAATAATAATAAAACATATTTGTATCACGCTGTTTAGCATCAAAAAAATTTAAATAATCGAAATGGAAAATAAATTAACACACACGTGAATTTGCACTTTAATTTGTAGCGAGAAAATTTTTTTTAAATCAAAAATAAATTCAATGGAATTTTTATCAACAGAAATTTGTGTTAAAATTTTGTAAACACTCCGAGTAACATTTTAAAATATGTATATGCTCTAAAACTGGAAAAAAATAAGTATCTTCGGTCAAGGCTGTTTTTCATGTTACGCTACATTTATTTTACACATGTGTAATTTACAATAATGTGTTAGATTTTTGGTATTACACATGAAAATGGGTTCTTGAAAATGTAATTAATTTAAACAAAGATGTTATAGAATGAACTAATACTGCTTTGGAATTGAAATAGAGGAGATTTGTAACTGATCTCTGACTGAACTAGAACTAGAACATTTCTAGAACAGAACTAGAACTAGAACAGAACAGAACTAGAACAGAACTAGAACAGAACAGAACAGAACTAGAACAGAACTAGAACAGAACTAGAACAGAACTAGAACAGAACTAGAACAGAACTAGAACAGAACTAGAACAGACCTAGAACAAAACTAGAACAGAACTAGAACAGAACTAGAACAGAACTAGAACAGAACTAGAACAGAACTAGAACAGAACTAGAACAGAACTAGAACAGAACTAGAACAGAACTAGAACAGAACTAGAACAGAACTAGAACAGAACTAGAACAGAACTAGAACAGAACTAGAACAGAACTAGAACAGAACAGAACTAGAACAAAACTAGAACAAACTAGAACAGAACTAGAACAGAACTAGAACAGAACTAGAACAGAACTAGAACAGAACTAGAACAGAACTAGAACAGAACTAGAACAGAACTAGAACAGAACTAGAACAGAACTAGAACAGAACTAGAACAGAACTAGAACAGAACTAGAACAGAACTAGAACAGAACTAGAACAGAACTAGAACAGAACTAGAACAGAACTAGAACAGAACTAGAACAAAACTAGAACAAAACTAGAACAGAACTAGAACAGAACTAGAACAGAAAGAACTAGAACTAGTAGAACAGAACTAGAACAGAACTAGAACAGAACTAGAACAGAACTAGAACAGAACTAGAACAGAACTAGAAAAAACTAGAACAAACTAGAACAAAACTAGAACAGAACTAGAACAGAACTAGAACAGAACTAGAACAGAACTAGAACAGAACTAGAACAGAACTAGAACAGAACTAGAACAGAACTAGAACAGAACTAGAACAGAACTAGAACAGAACTAGAACAGAACTAGAACAGAACTAGAACAGAACTAGAACAGAACTAGAACAGAACTAGAACAGAACTAGAACAGAACTAGAACAGAACTAGAACAGAACTAGAACAGAACTAGAACAGAACTAGAACAGAACTAGAACAGAACTAGAACAGAACTAGAACAGAACTAGAACAGAACTAGAACAAAACTAGAACAAAACTAGAACAGAACTAGAACAGAACTAGAACAGAACTAGAACAGAACTAGAACAGAACTAGAACAGAAACTAGAACAGAACTAGAACAGAACTAGAACAGAACTAGAACAGAACTAGAACAAACTAGAACAGAACTAGAACAGAACTAGAACAGAACTAGAACAGAACTAGAACAGAACTAGAACAGAACTAGAACAGAACTAGAAAAACTAGAACAGAACAGAACACTAGAACAGAACTAGAACAGAACTAGAACAGAACTAGAACAGAACTAGAACAGAACTAGAACAGAACTAGAACAGAACTAGAACAGAACTAGAACAGAACTAGAACAGAACTAGAACAGAACTAGAACAGAACTAGAACAGAACTAGAACAGAACTAGAACAGAACTAGAACAGAACTAGAACAGAACTAGAACAGAACTAGAACAGAACTAGAACAAAACTAGAACAGAACTAAAACAGAACTAGAACAGAACTAGAACAGAACTAGAACAGAACTAGAACAGAACTAGAACAGAACTAGAACAGAACTAGAACAGAACTAGAACAGAACTAGAACAGAACTAGAACAGAACTAGAACAGAACTAGAACAGAACTAGAACAGAACTAGAACAGAACTAGAACAGAACTAGAACAGAACTAGAACAGAACTAGAACAGAACTAGAACAGAACTAGAACAGAACTAGAACAGAACTAGAACAGAACTAGAACAGAACTAGAACAGAACTAGAACAGAACTAGAACAGAACTAGAACAGAACTAGAACAGAACTAGAACAGAACTAGAACAGAACTAGAACAGAACTAGAACAGAACTAGAACAGAACTAGAACAGAACTAGAACAGAACTAGAACAGAACTAGAAAGAACTAGAACAGAACTAGAACAGAACTAGAACAGAACTAGAACAGAACTAGAACAGAACTAGAACAGAACTAGAACAGAACTAGAACAAACTAGAACAGAACTAGAACAGAACTAGAACAGAACTAGAACAGAACTAGAACAGAACTAGAACAGAACTAGAACAGAAACTAGAACAGAACTAGAACAGAACTAGAACAGAACTAGAACAGAACTAGAACAGAACTAGAACAGAACTAGAACAGAACTAGAACAGAACTAGAACAGAACTAGAACACAGAACTAGAACAGAACTAGAACAGAACTAGAACAGAACTAGAACAGAACTAGAACAGAACTAGAACAGAACTAGAACAGAACTAGAACAGAACTAGAACAGAACTAGAACAGAACTAGAACAGAACTAGAACAGAACTAGAACAGAACTAGAACAGAACTAGAACAGAACTAGAACAGAACTAGAACAGAAACTAGAACCGAACTAGAACTGAACAAGAACAGAACTAGAACTAAACTAGAACTAAACTAGAACTAAACTAGAATTGAACTAGAACTAAACTAGAACTGAACTAGAACTGAACTAGAACAGAACTAGAACAGAACTAGAACTGAACTAGAACTGAACTAGAACTGAACTAGAACTGAACTAGAACTAGAACCGAACTAGAACTGAACTAGAACTGAACTAGAACTGAACTAGAACTGAACTAGAACTGAACTAGAACTGAACTAGAACTGAACTAGAACTGAACTAGAACTGAACTAGAACTGAACTAGAACTGAACTAGAACTGAACTAGAACTGAACTAGAACTGAACTAGAACTGAACTAGAACTGAACTAGAACTGAACTAGAACTGAACTAGAACTGAACTAGAACTGAACTAGAACTGAACTAGAACTGAACTAGAACTGAACTAGAACTGAACTAGAACTGAACTACAACTGAACTACAACTGAACTACAACTGAACTAGACCTGAACTACAACTGAACTAGAACTGAACTAGAACTGAACTAGACCTGAACTAGACCTGAACTAGAACTGAACTAGAGCAGTAATAGAACAGAACTAGAAACAAATCCGAACAAAACCGAAACAGAACTGAGCTAGAAGTGAACTAAAAAAATAACTATAACTGAAATAGAACTCGATCTAAGGATTTCTTTGAAAAAAAATATTCAGAACGAAGAGCAACCGAAACGAATATGCACTTTCAACTTATTTATCGTAATTCACGAACATTTTCCTGCTACAGATTTTTCCTTAAACCAATTTGCTTTCGAACCATTTAATGTTTCAATAAAGACAAATTGAAAATAATTAATATGTATTTTGAAATCAGCACTCAAAATGTAAATCATATCAAGTTGTAAATAATTGGCAACTCCAACTCACATGAGTAGTCATAACAGTCAGCTGATTGATTTAATTAACTTTCAATAAAACTACGTTTAATCTCTTATTCATAAATTGTACTCAAAAAAATACGTAAATGTTAAAATATGTAGATTAACTTTTTGATTTACTTTATACTGATTACAAAACATTTTTTAACAAAAATATATATTTATAACTGTAGATAAATCTTTTTTCGTAAACTTATATTTATATACATATCTCTTCTTTTTTTAGAAAATTATAAACATATAAACATAAATTTTTACAATCGTTATCGTTGATTTCATAAATTTTATTTTTACACAAATAAAAAAAAACTTTGAAAACTTCAGTAGGGGTAGCGAATAGTTAGTTTAGGTTAATTGACAATAAAACTTCTTTGTAAGGCAAAAAAATGTTACAGGTTATTAGAGAAATAACGAATTCTATTTAATTTAACTGTAGAGTAGAAAGTTTTACAACTACTTCGTTATAGCCAGTATACACTGTCTCTTTATTTTTGTTGATTAAGTGTGTATGTGATAAATTTCATTGACGCGTTCACTAATTTCATCTCCAGAGTAAATATAATTTCCTTGAGTGTGACTTTTACAGAAAAATATGACGTTTAACAAAATTAGTTAATTGTCAAAAAATTTTTAAAAATAAACGTTTTAGATTGCATTGTAGTTTTAGGAA